AATCCTTTTTAAGTATATGTCATTATTTTTGTGAGTAGATATACAGCTCCATGCATAGTATGTCAAGTATCGATAGATATCAAATTTAATGAGTTTTCATCTTTTATATAGACAGACTTAGTTCTAGAGCCGCACATGTCAAAACTCATACGGAAACCCCAACTTTTGAGGTTATGGCCATAGCCCTATCCGACCCTCTTCGAGCTTATTTTTGACACTCGTGCCACCTAGTTCTCTTGAACCTTGCATATGCCTCGATTGTTGAATGCATACTCTTGATGTATTGAAGGATGCACCGTCTTCTTCGGTCGCATCATGACACTTCTCAATCTTGGTTCTCACATGGCTGGATGAGCGTCACTTAAGGGTCACCCATTGTCTGTCTTCCGTACCTACTTTCTCTTAGTGAGGTCGTGACACCCTCCCCACTTAACATAGTCATCGTCCTTTATTAAATTTTATAGGGGGCATAATTCTATTGTCGATTGTTATATTCTCCCTCACTTAATCTCAACATCTTTTCGATAATGACCCCAATATTAGACTGACTACTCACTTGACATGTTGACTTGTTTGTGCTTTCAGAATGAATACAAAAACTTGCGCACTATTTATGGGTTATCCCATTGTCGAACCTTCTCTCGGTCTCCAGGAATCGCAGTGTAAGCACGTCAAACACAACTTGTTAATGGTTGTGGGTTATCCCTCTATGGACTTAATTTCACCCACTTTTCAAACTTAGTCCAGGATTCACAAAACAAACCATGACAAAACTAGAATCGGCATTATTCGTTTGAGCTATAGGGAGCGCACCCCAAACGTGACCATCATGGCCTAAACTTTCGAATTCTCTGAGTCTAGGATTTGTAGCACAACATTCTCTTGTCATGGCCACATCTCTTTTCAGAAGCGAGGCCTACACTCCAGCCAATATCTCAATTGGCCACCTTCATGTGGCAACCACTACAATGACACTTGTCTGGTCTTGCTACAGCTTCATTCACTATGTTGCTCAAGTCCAACCTAGTGCTCTCTTCTTGAGTTAGAGGCTGGTCTCGACACTCTTGTGAAGCCATCCTTCTTAGGCACTAGGTCATGGCTCAAGGAACACACATGTACTTACTTCTTAGAGCACTTCTTCAAAGTGAGCATCCATTTCTCTTGAGCTCTCCCGCACTAAACATCAGCTGCCTCTCTTGCAGTGACGTCGTTCACCTATATGGACTTTTGTTGTACACATTTGGCACTTGACCAACACATGTAAGATCTAACCCCCAACTTTTTGCTTTCAACCATTGACATTATTCCTCTGCGACGAATGGTTCTTTCAAAGGCACCAATTTATACACCTTCTAATTCACTGTCTGCCCATTTGAACTCCCTAGCCCTCGGCAATTGGGCTTGATTCGTGCTTCACTGATGGGTAAGACTCCTCCTCAAGGAGTCTAGCTTTTGACCCACAAAACAATTTTTTATTCTAACTCGGAATTGTCTGGCCCAATTTGGCACTCGTGACACACTTGCTAAGTTTTCATTAAACCCTCAGGTTCTCTATCTTGTTTGACTTAGATACACAAAGTGTGGCTTTGATACCAACGATTAGAAACCACAACCCTCCAAAATTGTATGATATTGTCTACTTTGAGCATAAGCTCTCATGACTTTAATTTTGGTTTCTCTAAAATGCCTCATCCAAAGGGAGATAGTATTCCTTACTTATAAACCCATGATCTTCCCATTAATTAGCCAATGCAGGAACTCATTTTCTAACAATCCTCAATAGAAGCAAGCTACGACACTTGGGAGGTTGGCGTTGAGAAAGTTATGATGCAACCTTGTTTTTAGAGTATTGAGAAAACTACGTTGAGGAAGGGTTTAGGATAGGTGATTTCTTAAGTTGGACATTATGAGTTCTTACGTTAATACCCAATTCAAAAGGAGGTGAAAGATAGTGAATTGCTCGTGACATTTCAATAGAAGGCTTAACAATGCCATGGATAGGTTATACCTGAAATTTAGTAGTCATTGGATTAAAGAGACTAAACTGAGGATGTGGCCAAAATGTATCCATAGGAACCTAATGTCAGTTCATGACTTAAATGACTTCGGAAAGACATGAGATTTTATAAGTCTTATTTTATAGTTTATGAGGACTCTATATAATTCTAGACCATTGGAGTACGTTTAGGGCCTAAACTAAAGTTATGAAAAATGACTAGGAAAATAGCACTAACCAGGACTATAAGATGTTTTAAGACCCAAATGAACAAGAATAAGAATAAGGTACGACATAAGCCCTTACGTCCACCCAGACTTGAAGACTACTAGATATATTTTTGAAACAAGGACCAAAGTCCTTAGACTAAGAACCCAAGAACCCCTTGACCTTCCACAATATAGCTTACTCATGACTCAGACTACATCACTTGAAATGCATGAAGTCTTAGATGTAGGTTGCAGATTATGCCACTTGGAACGTATAAAGCTGTAGGCATAGATATTTAGACTATGCTCCTTGGAATATATGAAGTCTTAGGCTTAGGTTTTCAAACTGTTTCACTTGGAAAATGAGAAGCCTTAAAACGCTGGTTTGAGACTACATCGCTTAGAAAGTAAGAAATTTTAGGTGTAGGTTTCAGACTATATCATAGGGAACACATGAAGTCTTAGATGCAGGTTTAGACTATGTTGTTTAGAATGTATGAAACCTTAAACATGGATTTTCAAACTATCTCACTTGAAACTAAGAGCCAACAAAAGAACAAGAACGAGGATAAAGATTCTAGTTCCCATGATTAAGAACCTAGACCTTCATAACTATGGTCAATTAAAACAAGTCAAGAACGCAGAACCCAAGATTCGTTGGTTCGATATAACAACCCTAAGGGAATAAGATTTTAACCAAAAAAAAATATATTTAAATTTATTTATTTTAAATTTTCATATATACCAAGGTCTTTCGGCCTAATCAAGAAAATAACCTAAGGATTTAAGTTGTACCAAAACATGAAAAGAAATGAGTATGGTACTCTAGCACGCACCATGGACACGATTAAGAGCTTACAACTATTCCACTTATTGATTTTTTGTGAGGTTCGGAGCGGACTTTAGAGCAGGCACCATAGATAAACGAGCCATCTCAATCTCCAACAATGTTTTGATTTAGAAGTTTTTTTTTGTGCTCTTCCTTATTTTGTGTTTAAACTATTTTGGTATAAACTCTATGTTGGTATAAATATATATACTTTATACTTTCCGTTTCTTTGTTTTATTTTGGAAATCGTAATATGTGCCTCGAGAAAGTCTTAAAATTGGGTTGTGAAAAATTGGTATTAGAGCTAAAGTTTCTCTATAGCTTAACTCGAGAAATGCCTTGTGTAAGTACACTTCTAAGACTATGTTTAACTATGCCTAAGGTTTTAAATTTGAATGAATGATCCACGTAACTAAATTATTGAGAACTATCTTAATTTTATTAAGAATTAAAAAAATAATAAATATGAAAGTAATAGCTTGCTTGAAGTATTCCGAGTAAGCTAAACTTTATATTCTACAAAATGAGACTATAAAATTTTAAAATCTTTTCTAAATAATATATTAAAGATATAATATCGAATCAAATAAGATATCTTAATATATATTTAATTAATTAAAATATTATTAAATATTATTTTAAACTCTTAAAATTAATATATATATATATATATATAATTTGTTTATTTATAAATATATTAAATATTAATTTAAATTCTTCAAATTAAATATTTTTTTTCTATTTATTTAATATAGATAATATATTAATATTAATTTGAACCATTTAAAATTTTATTTATTTTATGAACCTCCCTATTATAATCTTCGATATAAAATTAATTAATTTAACTTTTTAGTTAATTATTTTTCATTCATTAACGATATGTCACTTCACTATAGATTTAGAGTTGCACTCTTATAGACGGTAGGACAAGTTATATTTATAGATATAATCATTACAAGCAAGTCAACTATTCACGAGTTTACATAATTACAACTGGGTCAAAAAGTCTATTTTACCCTAGTAATTACATCTTTTACCTTGAGTACCATTGATTCTCTAGTGAATAAATTGTTTATCATCTAATCATAAATCAAGTCTCTCTCGGGCCTCTCAATCATAAACTAAGTACCGAAATCAATACTTATGAGAATAACTCATCTACTTTTTTTATATGGAAAAAAGTGAATTCTATATTATGTTATTAGGTTCTCAACTCCCTATTTGGTCAAGTTCCCAAAATGATAAACATATTGAATCAGCTATAATAGTCACTCTCACCCATGCAAATTAAAGAACAAATCTTCACAGATAGAAGTTCATAACTCACTCACGAGTAAGATCGAGTCGCATATGATCATCATATAAAATATTAATCTTCTCAATTAATAGAGTTATAAGGAGAGATTAAATATTTCTTGGTTCAGTCTTATATAAATCCATTATATATAGCATCTCACTTATATGTCTCAACGGGAAAGATTTAGATCAAAGCATTTCGAAATAGTGGGTCATATCAATAATGTTATCAAGATAAGTCCCCAACTTTATCCATATACTATAAACCGTTAAGTTATTATTTTGGTGTTTTTAATTGCCTTATAAGTTGGAAGTATTTTATTTTTAATTGCCCCGTTACTAATAAGGACTCACCGACCAAAAAGGAAACAAAAATTGAAGTGGGAAGAAAACGAAAGGGAGAGAGAGGAAGTTAAATAAATGAAGAAGCCACGTCATAGGTGGAAGGTGCCAGCGTGGGTTGAACTGTGCCGCCTAAACGTCTGGCTACTGTGGAACTGGAACTAGCAACTTTGAACAAATATCCAACTCTTAAAAAAAGCTAACCCTGGTTACCTCGCTCCACCCAACTCTGGTTAAAAATAAACCACAACAAATTAAATTTATTTAATAAAAGCCCACAAAACGACAACTACAACCCGCCGTATAAAACTTGCCTGAATTTCTAAAGCAACAGTCCACACACGGATCACTTCCAGCTTTCTCCTTCCTCTGCGATTCGCTGCTCTCCGACCCACTACTTTTCCGATCCATTTGCTCTTTCTTTCTCTTCCGCCATGGCTGTTTCTTCTCACGCTACACTCATTGGTTCGGCCTCCTTCGATGGCCGCTACGATCCTAATTCCGGCGTTGCACCTTGTCTTCGGACGCACAGCTATGCCCGATTTGCCCAACCCAAATCGGTGAAAGGGACGTTGGCGTCTCACGCCTTATCTTCTTCTCGGATTTTCAAGTTCCCGCCGAATTTCCTCAGGCAACTCAGTAACAAGGCGCGTAGGAACTGCAGCAATATTGGCGTCGCACAGGTTGTTGCGGCTTCGTGGTCGAACAACTCCCCTCCTTCTCCCTCGGCGGCGGCGGCTACTTCCGTCGACGCCGCTGCCGCTGCCTCAGTGTCTGCCGCGTCTGATGCGGTGGCACTGGAAGGTTGCGTTGGGAATGAGAGTTTGAAGGTGGAGGAGGATTTAGGTGATTCCAGAACCTCTGTCTTCGATTCCGACGGGAGTGTTGCTATCCACGCTGGTAAGGTTTAGTTAGAAATTTGACTTTGTCTTTGATTCTTTGAGATTCTTTGAGATTCTTACAGTAAACTTTTTCTTTCTTTTCCTTTTGTTGTTTTTAGGACTATTTTTATTATTTACATGTAATTGAATGTTTCGGTGCGGATTTCAGGCGAACGATTTGGTCGTGGTAGAGTTGACGACGCTATTACGACGCCGGTGGTTAATACTTCCGCTTATTTCTTCAAGAAAACTGCTGATCTCATTGATTTCAAGGTACTTATTAGCATTCCATGATGATTCAAAACGGTTGACTTCAACTCTGTAGCTTTTATGATCATTTACTCCCTACTAGTCTAGCATTGTTTTGCTCGTTATACTGCATCAAAATTGAAGGAAAAAAAAAACGATATATAAAGATGTCTGGATTCGTTCTTACTCTTTTAGACATTGGATCCTGGCAGGAGAAGCGTGCTGTAAGTTTCGAGTATGGGCGCTATGGAAATCCAACGACAATTGTTGCGGAGGAGAAGATAAGGTTTTGTTTATGAACTAGTTTGTTTCTTTTGTAATCCTTACCGAATAGAATTGAGTGTTGAAGTTGTTTTTGGTTTTGAATCAGTGCTTTAGAAGGGGCTGAATCTACCCTGATTGTGGCCTCAGGCATGTGTGCTAGTACGATGATGTTTCTGGCGTTGGTTCCTGCTGGAGGGCATATCGTGACGACCACAGATTGCTATAGGAAGACAAGGATTTTTATTGAAACCATTCTTCCCAAAATGGGAATCACGGTATTATTGTACCTTTAGCTTCATTCTGTTTATTTTATTCATCTTCTTTCGGTGGTTTAGTTAATCATTACGCTAAGATTAGTATTATCTAACATTTTTCTGTCTCATTCAATGATTGGACACCAACTCGATCTGTCTTGCATGGAAATAGACTTTTCCCGTATGTATGCATTAATTTAACTGTGACAGAATAATTTTGTTTTTATTCTGAGTAATATTTGAACTTGTTTTCTGCTTGGACATTGGCGGAAAAGTAAGTAAACTGCCTTCCCCTGATAAAATTGTGTGTACTGGGTACAAACAAGTTACCTAAAGGTTTCTAGAATTGAGTAAAATAATTAAGCAGCTTTAGTTGATTGGGGGCAAGTCTATCAGGTGCTGTGCCACTTGGTTACTTATTTTTAGCAGCCTTAGTTCATACTTTTCCTTTCATCCTTATTAAATATTTTTGTTTTCGCATCAAAATATAATTCATGAAGAACAAGAATATGAGAAAATGCTAATTAAGGAACATAGTGGAAACAAATTACTAGAATTGTAAAGCTTCCTTAAAAATGTTATAGATTCTGTTAACAATCATTCTCTTGTTTATTTGCAGTGATTATATAAGATCTGAATTTTTATTATTGTCTATATTTTTCCAACTATATGGGATTTCTTATCTCTAAAAATGAAAATTGGATGGATTTGTTTACAAGTTGGTGTTGCTTGATTTGTAGTGGAACTGGTTGGTTGGAAAGCTCTATTCTTAGATCCATTTTTTTTTTTTTTTTTATGTTGTAACTGTAACTACATCTTGGAATGCAGGCTACGACCATTGATCCTGCGGATATGAACAGCCTTGAAGTAGCTCTGAAAGAAAATAAAGTGACCATTTATGAACCTTTTTTTTTTTTTTTTTTTTTTTTATCGTTTTTATGGGTTTTATGTTTGGTGTTAATGGAAATTGATGTTAACCTGTATTTTCCTTCCATGTAGGTTTCTATTTTCTTCACTGAATCCCCAACCAATCCATTTCTGAGATGTGTTGACATTAAACTCGTTTCAGAGCTTTGTCATCAACATGGAGCATTGGTTTGTATAGATGGTACCTTTGCAACACCATTGAACCAGAAAGCGCTTTCACTCGGGGCCGACTTGGTTATTCACTCTGCTACAAAGTATCTTGGGGGTCATAATGATGTAAGTGATTCTTTTTATTTGAATAATCTGGATTTAAATTATTAATTAATTAAGAGCTTTATGAGCAATTTCCCTTAAGAAAGGAATTTACTAAGCATTGTCTTTTAGGTCCTTGCTGGTTGTGTAAGCGGTTCTCTGAAACTGGTTTCTGAGATTCGAAACCTTCATCATGTAATAGGTGGCACTTTAAATCCAGTGAGTCCTCTTATCCTATTTAATTCCTGCATCCTTTTTGTTTTTGATTATGGAGTGATGTTCATGCATGATTGAATTCTCCATTGGTTTTCTGCGCTCTTTTCGATCCTTTTTTTTTTTCTTGTCAAGCCTTACTGTAATTAATTCTGATATCTTCATCTTACAGAATGCTGCATACTTACTTATACGAGGCATGAAGACGTTGCATCTTCGTGTTCAGCAGCAAAATTCCTCAGCTTTGAGGATGGCAAAGCTTTTAGAGGCTCATCCTAAGGTATGCAATTTAGTATATCAAGCTGCAGTGCTTCTATTACAAGGAAAAACACAAACTGCATATTGTTTCGTATGTTTAATTTACTACCTAATGTTAACCTAGGCGGTGCAAGGGAACAATAGTAGTTTAATTATTGATGCTTTTGAGGCATCTGATGGTAGAGTATACGACTCATACACGTGTTGAGAAATTAGCAGATGTAGCATATTCAAACCGAGTTTATCTCCCTTATTCATTAACTGGATATAATCATGTGGTTGTGAATTCTTTTACCTTATACAATGTGACATTATGCAGATCAAATGTGTTTACTACCCTGGGCTACCAAGTCATCCTGAGCATAATCTTGCCAAAAGACAGATGAGTGGTTTCGGGGGCGTAGTTAGTTTTGAGGTTAGAAAAATGACAAAACCCTTTTACTTTGCTAGGTTTAGGTTTAGGTTTGTTTAGGTTTAGTTCATGAATTTGTTCATTCTGGTGTGCAGGTTGATGGGGATTTAACGACCACCATAAAATTCATTGATTCATTAAAAATTCCATATATTGCCCCATCATTTGGTGGGTGCGAGAGTATCATAGACCAGCCAGCAATAATGTCATATTGGTAAATATCCAGTTCTTAACTTTTTTAACACATTTATTTAGTATGTGGGTGGTGGAAGTAATTAAATTTTTGTTGATGGAAATGAAATAGGGATCTTAACCAAACAGAGAGGCTCAAGTATGGGATAAAGGACAATTTGGTGCGGTTCAGCATTGGAATTGAAGAGTTTGAGGATTTGAAGGCCGATATTCTGCAGGGTCTTGAGGCCATTTAAAGCCTAAGCCTATGCCTGCAAAAGCCAATGAACCTACACCTCTCGTTCTATTTAAATATCATCTTTTTTGCTTTGTCAATTGGGATTTGCCAACTCTGGTGGTATTGTCGGCGACTGCGACGTTGATTTGATGGAAATGGTGCCAGGGGCGAAAAAGTGAACCCCCCAGGCATTTGTGGTGGTTGGTGTTCTTCTTAACCAATTATTCAAAATCATGTTAGGCCATTGCTTTCTATTGCCTAAAGTTAACAATATCAGGTTCTGAAATTTCGTTCTATGATATAAATTTTAATAATTTATTTTTAAGAATTTCAAACTTGCCAGTTTTAGTAAATACCCTGTACTAAGAGAAATTAAGCGTAATTGTATGTTTTGAAATCAATCTTTTTCAGAGAAAAAAAAAAAAAAACATAATTCTTCCAAGTTGAAGTTTTTGCAGTCTTCTTTCTTTTAAATTTTTATTCTTGGAAAATTCTACATTATCTTTATCATAATTATGTATTTGTGATTTTATTTTTGAATAAATTACAAATTTATAAAATGTACTTTCTATGGTTTAAAATGTTAGACTAAGTTCTTATAGTTTGTTAAAAGTAGGGACTATTTTTTTAGATTTGATCAGATTAGGAAGATTACTTAAATTTTTATCCAATTATAGGGATGTTATAGGGATATTCTAACTTGTAACACTCGAGCCTATAAAAGAAATTTTAAAACTCATTTTTTTCTTTAAATTGGAACTCTCCAGATTTTATTATAAGTCATAGAAGATGAATTTGAAGATGAGGTATAAGAGAAAAATCAAGGGAACTCAAAAGAGATTAGAAAAAAAAAATAGTGAAAAATTAGAAAAATTGGTCAAAATTAATCGGAGAGGTAAATCGGTCATTTTCACCTCGTTGTCTAGACAGGGGTCTGAATTGGTGAATAAAAAGAAAGAAAGAAAGAAGCTCTTCCCAGCCCATTTTAGGGCATTTCTCCCTTCAATTTCCATTTAGAGAGAACCCATACGAATTTGTTATCGAGTAAGACTAATGTGGGACTCTTAGGCCACGTTTTCTTCACATACTCAGAGTCGCTATTAACGTCTCATGCTCATATATAATGCGGAAATATAACTCTTACATGAACATAATTTATAACGTAAACTTAAAAAACGTTTAAAACAACTTCTTCGCTGGAAAACATAGTCATGGTCTTATGTGTTTAAATATGAAATACTGAAATTTAGAGAAAACAAAAACAAATACAAAATAATTTAAAACAATAAAATGCAAAACAACCTATTCTAACTTAAGACTAGAAATTTAAATATGAATCTGCCCTATGCACGTGCCACAGTCTCTACTCCCGATGTCGCTGTCCTCCGTACAAATGCGCCTTGCCTTGACTTGAAAAATGATGTGGTACACGGCCTGAGTATTTTGAGTATTTCAAAGAATACTCAGAAAGTGGCCCCACTATAGGGGTGGCCTTCAGTCTCAGACAAATTGGATGTGTAGTATTTCTCTACACACGACTCACACGTGCGAGTGTGAATCCCCAGGGCGCTCGCACACCCCCTGGACCTTCTGGTCAAGCGAATCTGTAGCGACGTCCGGAGGTCAGCGGAACCCCATAGTGTCATGCGCCTCATGAACACCCTCATTTGTGTGCAATCGCACCTGTGCGCATTTGCACTCATCATACGGTGCGCGTCTGCACTCATCATCTATAGGGGAAGTAGCCGAACATACAATATGCATGAGGTCCCTCTAAATCCATCATAATTTCTCTTCTGACACAACCCTCTGGTCTCATCTCTTTGTTACTCTAGGTAACACATACTCATGGATATTTATATTAATTATTTTCACGCTCATAGGGTTGTGTCCTATATCAAGTACGTCATTCATCAAAATATATATATACTGCGCACATCATCAAGTATTGTAACCCACACATCATCATAATTCATACATCATCATAACTCATAAGCTGCATCGTACGACATAGTTCCTATCTATATCTATATATATATATTTTGTTTTTTCCTTTTAATTTTGTTAATAATATTCCGGCATCTCTCTAATCTTCTCTTTGTATTTTCCTTGTATTCTTATTAACTCTTCCTTCCAAATCTTTCCTTTCTTTCTCTTGTTTTCCTTTTTTTTCTTCCTTTAATTCCGTGATCATTTAAATTTCACAATATTATAGACAATTTTTTTTTCCCAAATCTTTCCTTTCTTGTCAATTTTTTTAACAGAATCTTTTCTGTTCTGTTTGTCGTGTATTTACTTCTTATCTTCCATTTTTTCTCTCTATTATATTTTTATGGACAGATATTAGTCTTAGTTATAGTTAATTTTCTATAACCTAATAACCAAAATCTAAATAAATGGGTAGGGAACATTTGATTCTGATTAACTAGACAAAAGGAGAAGGAAATCTGATTTGAATAAATGAAAAAAAGATTTGAATTATGACTTATAGTAATAACAAAGCAAGATTTCTCTCTCCAATAATTAAATCTCCTGCTCGCTTGTAAATCTTGTTGTTGGTATTTTTTTGGGAGAGGGAGGAGGGGTTAGTGGAAAGTAGTTTATGGAAAATTATTATTTTAATTATTTAATTATTATAATTATTATTATTCTTTTTTTGGGTCGTTACATTATCTACCCCTAAAAAGAACTTTCGTCCTCGAAAGTCTCAAACTCTTGTACTAGCTCAGGATATTTTTCTCTTATTTCGTCCTCACGCTCCCACGTGGCTTCCTTGCTGTGGTGATTCTGCCACAGTACCTTAACGAACACAATATTCCTATTGCGTAAGGTTTTTACTTCTCTAGCTAAGATTTTTACTAGTTTTTTTTTTTTTTTTTTTCCTTGTACCTCAAATCTTCATTGAGTTGGTGATAAGATAAGGAACCACTACAAGGGAAGTAAGATTTGGATTATCTTGTTGATCGAATATCTCAAGACAAGAACATTGTTTGAGATTCGAATCACTCCACAAGCAAGATCGATCATGTCTAACTTGAATGATTCTTGTTGATCAAATATCTTAAGACAAGAACACTTGATTGAGATTCGAATCACTCCACAAGCAAGATTGATCACGTTGAGCTTGAATAATTCTACATGCAACCTAAACTACATAGAATTGCAAAGAAACTTAGCCATTGGCTAAAGAAGAGCACAAATGCTTCTTTTACTACATTTTACAAGTCTCTTACAAATACAACATACATTGCTTTATATAGTCACAAAATGAAACTACTAAAGTCATTCCAAGAGTTGTAATATTCATGCTTAATGGCCTTAATTAAACATTATGTAATTGTAATCTAAAGTAAATAAAAAGTCTTAAAATATATTAATGAAAAACAATAACTCTAAATTACTCTAAATTGTAATCCACCCAAAATTCAAAACATGAAAGTTCATTCTTCTTCAATGTGGCATGAATTGAAATATCTTTTGATAATTTCAACAATATTTTCTTTACATTTTTATTGAAGCATATTGTAAGATTGATGTCTTTTGGTTCATATCAGTTGGAGTGGTTCGTAGTCTATTTCGTGGATAGGGTCCGTAATGTACTTCCTCAGCATCGACACATGAAATACATCGTGTACTCATAAGTAGGCTGGAGGTAGGGCTAACTTATACGCTACTGGACCAACTCGCTCTAGGTTTTCGAATGGTCCAATGAATTTAGGACTTAACTTTCCCTTACGTTCGAACCTCAAGACACTTTTCATAGGTGTCACCTTGAGGAATATTGAGTCTCCTATCTCAAACTCCAGGCTTCTACGCCTTACATTGACGTAGATTTTCTGTCTACTTTGAACGGTACGCATCCTCGCTCGAATTTTCTAGACAGCCTCATTGGTGAGTCGAACGATCACGGGTCCTACTAACTCTCTTTCGCCTACTTCGTCCCAACATAGTGGGAACCTACACCGTTTCCCATATAGGGCCTCAAACGGTGTCATACCAATAGTGGCTTGGAAGTTGTTATTATACTAGAATTCCATGAGGTGGAGTTTGGAATCCCAACTTCTCTTAAAATCTAGTACGCAAGCTCGTAGCATGTCCTCTAGAAGTTGGTTTAAATGCTTTGTTTGTCCATCTGTTTGGGGGTGGAAATCTAAAGTCGAGGTGGGTACCCAGCGCTTTTTTGAAGTCTGAGCTAGAACGCTGACGTAAAGCGTAAGTCCCAATTCGACACTATAGATACTGGGACTCCATGTAGTCTTACTATTTCTTTCACATACAGCTTTGTCCAATTGTCAACTATATATGTAGCTTTCCTAGGCAGGAAGTGTGTCGACTTGGTCAACCTATTGACAACTACCCGATCATTGTATAGTCTTTAAGCGTTTTGGGAAATCCTACTATGAAGTCCATTGCTATGTTTTCCCACTTCCACTCTAGTTATGCTTAGGGGCTGCAACAACCTCGCTGCCTTTTATCTAGGAGCTTTCACTTGTTGACAAACTAAGCACTTGCTCACAAACTCAGCCACGTCCCTCTTCATGCTCTTCCACCAGAAGTGTTGTTTTAAATCTTGGTACATCTTAGTACCTCCTAGGTGCATGGAAAATGGCGAGTTGTGAGGTTCGTCAGTATTTCTTTCCTTAGCTCCTCTATTGTCGAGACATACAGGCGCCCCTGATACAATAGCCCTTCATCTGAGGTCTTCGAGAATCCATTTACTAGACTCTCAGCTAGCTGGCTTAAGACTTTCTGTAGGTTTGGATCTTCTCATTGGGAGGTAACCATTCTTTGCCTAACTGTAATATGCACTGTAAGTTGAGCCAGTTGTGCTATGACTCTCAGTCGCTACAACTATGTTGGCTCCCTCGAATTTTCTTTGTACCCTTACTTCCCTCGTAATGAGGGCCGAAGAGTGGGCCGCCTTTCTACTCAAAGCGTCTGCGACCACATTTGCTTTTCTAGGATGGTATTGGATATGTACATCGTAGTCCTTCACCAATTCTAACCACCTTTTCTGTCTCATATTTAACTCTTTCTGGGTGAAGAAATATTTAAAATCTTATGGTCGGTTAAACTTTGAATTTTCTCTCCATACAGGTAGTGTCACCAAATTTTCAGCGCGAACACTACAGCGGCCAACTCCAGGTCGTGGGTAGGGTAATTATCTTCGTATTCTTTTAGTTGACGGGACGCGTATGCAACAACTTTACCGTGTTGCATTAACACACATCCTAGTCCATTCTTTACAGGCGTCACTATAGATTACGTACTCTTTTGAGATCTCGGGTACCGTGAGTACCGGGACGGTTACTAATCTCTCTTTTAGGT